AGAAGCCGGCGTCGCAGTCGTAGATGCGCCCGTGAGCATGCCCCACGCCGTGCTCGACGTGCATGTGCAGGTGATAGCTGCCGTGCCACGTCCCAGGGCAGCCGCGACCTGCGTGGCTACAGCACCAGGCCTTCTTGTGGTGCGACCAGCCAAAGTACCAGTTCGAAAACCCGGCATGGCAGTTGTACTTGAAGTGGTGCACATGTGGTTGCACGTAGTGGGTCTGGTAGACCACGTGCGTGTGGGCGGGTGCGGGGACGGGCACCGGGACGACGCTGGTGTGGGGCTGCATGTACACTGGCACGTGATGGTAAATCACCTTGGGCGGGACATCGTGGAGGGGGCACGCCCTGCCGTAGTGTGTGCAGCAGTACTTCTGGTGCAGGTCACCCCACAAGTTGGACCAGTCATGGTACCCCGTGTAGCAGTCGAACTGATCGTAGCTGGGGGCAGGAGGCATCTCATCGGCCCCTGGGTTCGGAAGCCAAAAGAAAAGCCGCCACAGCAGCAAGCCTGCAGATCACGTGCTGTTTGTTTTGCCATGCTGCGGCGTCAGCACTTGCGAGCATGATGGCACTGGAGACGGCAAGAGTCGCAGCTTTGGGTCAAGTTCGACAACTTTCAACCAGACTATACGATGTAAACAGACTTTGGAGGGCTGCCCTTGAGATTTTGTCCAAGTAGCCCACGCCCAAAAGCAGCACCAGACAGAGAAGGGCCACGCATCCTGCCCTGCACCTCACAGCATCAGCATGTGCAAAGCAAGTTATGCCAATCATCACCTGGATCCATTACACGTTTGCATGCAAATTGTTAAAGGCCAACAAGCCTCTGTTGTGTCATAGTCGCTTTTTCGCTTTCCCTACAAGTATCTACTCGAAGGAGAGTTTAGCAAGATGTTGAGCCGCAGATCGCATGGATGCTGGCCAAACCGATTCAGATGGCCTGACCTGTCAAGTGTTCAAGCCCTGCATAGCCGTTCCGTCTGCGGCATCCTACACCTCCCACCCTAGGCTTCACACACCCATTCCCTTGGCCGCTCTTAAGCCCTTCGATCCACCGCACGCCTCCATCCACCGCTGCTCATCCGCACCTCCTCGAGGTTGCCTTTGCCTGTGCCAACAAGGAGTTGGGCGCAGCATGGACTCTCGGCTAATGTTGGACAACAAGCACATTTCTTGTTTTTGCATGAATGCTTCAGCAAACACGAAGTGATGTGTGCTATCAGTCCAGCTGTCCAGGCTGCCAAGTCACCAGCACCAACGTACTGGATCTGGGAGGCCTGCA